CTGGACGACCGAACCTCCGCCAGACCTCCGCAGCCACCCGTGGGGCCATGCCCCACTCGTCCTGGAGTGGGCCCCCCCTGGACATCCTGTCGGCCCCCACGTTCCGGGCACCCGGGACGTGGGGCGCCCTCAGGGACAGGAGGTGAAGCGCCGCCCACAGCAGCGTCACCGTCGCCATGCGATGGAGGACGGGGGATCTGGTCCCCCCCTGCCTGTTCAGATAAGACACCACTGTGGTGTTGTCTGAGCGAACCATCACGTGTCTCCCCTGCAGTTGAGGAGCAAAGTGCAGCAGTACCCTGTGTACTGCCTCCATCTCCAGAAGGTTGATGTGGCGGGCTGAGTCCGACCAGCAGCCTCCTACAGAGCTCTGGCCGAGGACCCCGCCCCAACCCTCGAGTGACGCGTCCGTGAACACCTCCACGTGAGACACGGCGCAGGCCAGAGTCACTCCGTCCCGCAATAGACCCGGAGTGAGCCAAAACCTGATGTCCGATGCTGCCACTTGGGGAACCCAGATAAGCCTCCCCCCGTCCCGGGAGGGGTGAAGCCTGAGGCGTCAGAACCACCTCTGAAAATTCCTCATGTGGAGAAGGCCTAGCCGCACCACAGCATGAGCCGCCGCCATCATCCCCAGCAGGGACCTGAGGCGCCGAGCGGGGACCCTGGGGCCCGCCAGAACCTCCCTGGCTAGACGGGTAATCTTCCTCAGTCTGTCCTCGGACAATGCAGCACGGAACGTCACAGAGTCTAGCTGCAGGCCGAGATAGATCATGCGCTGAGCCGGTTGCAGCCTGCTTTTCTCCCTGTTCACCACAAAGCCCGGGCGCTGTATGTGGGACAGGACCCAGTGCGTGTGACTCACGGCCACTTCCCTGGATGAGGCCAGTATTAACCAATCGTCTATATAGGTTAATATTCTTACCCCGGTGCGTCTGAGCGGCTCCAGTGCCGCCTCCACGCACTTTGAGAAGGTCCGAGGCGCGAGCGCGTAGCCAAAGGGGAGACGGCAGTACTCGTAACTCCTCTCTCCCACTGCGAAGCGCAGGAACTTCCTGTGTTCCGGAACTATCGGCACGTGAAAGTAAGCGTTAGTCAGGTCTATGGAGGACATCCAATCTCCCTGCCTGACACACTCGAGGAGCTGTTTTGTGGACAGCATCCGAAACTGCAGTTTGGAAATGCACTCGTTCAGAACGCGCAGATCCAAAATGGGACGCACCCGGCCTGACTTCTTTGGCACCAAAAAGTAAGGGGAGTACAGCCCCCTGGTGGCGTCCTGTGGGTCTACCTCTACTGCAGCGCCTCGACTCAGCAGAGAGGAGACCTCCGCTTGCAGTGCCACTAATGACCCCCGTACCTGAGAGCGTGCTGCCCGTACGCCTCGGAATGGCGGTGGCTTCGGGAGAATTGCAGTGCGTAACCTCTGCGCAATGTCTTCTCCAGCCACGGATCCGTCAGTAAGCCTTGCTCCCTCCAGATGCTGTAGAAGTCTGTAAGGGGCGGAACGGGAGCTGGAACACGAGACGTCACAGCCCCGCCCTCTCCTGGTGTTCCTAGCAGGGAGGGGGGGTGGACGAAAGGGCAGGGGGGCCCCCTGCGTCATACCGTGTGCGCCGGTGGCGGTCACGTGTCCTGCAGGCCCGACGTCATAAGTACGGGCCTGCTCATGCCATGTGACTCGACTGCTCCGCCCCCCCCTGGCTCTTGCCTCTTGGAGGGGGGGGCGAGCCCCTGGAGTGGGACTAGCACGCGTTCTGTCGAAGCACACACACCACTACTCACCAGATCCCTCCGCCTGACCTCTCTCTGGGAGGGCATAGCATGGATCAGAGGACCGGAGCTCGTAGCTCGCGTAGCGCACTGCACACCCTGCTCTGGGGGCTGCAGGCCTAGCGAAGCAACGTTATGTGCCCGGGAAGTAACACAATCAGATTTCACATTAGACATGTTACATACCCCCAAATGAGACTCAGACAACGAGTACTGATGAAATGCCGGTCGGCCTTTATTGAAAGAATTCTTGCCACCCCGGCCTCCTCTACCATAGGGAGGCCGGCGGTGGGTGCGTTGCCCCCGCGAGCCGCCCGTGGGTCTGTCTGGACCCGGGGGCCTCGTCGAGGGGGGACGATGGACAACAGAGCGCGGAAACGGGTCAGGACGCCTCCCGGGCGAACGCTCTCTGCCTCTGTCCCGGCTCCGTGATGGTTGGTGGGCCTCGCGCCTCGGTGCTAGGTGCGGGGCTAGCCTAGCCGAGTCGTTGGCTGCAGACTCCAGTCTCGCCACCAGGGCCTGCGTGTCCGGGCCGAAGAGGGACGTCTGAGAGATGGGCAGGTCCAGCAGCTGCCTCTTCTCCGCCTCCCTGATATTAGCCAGCCCAAGCCAAAGGTGCCTGGCCCCGACTTGGGCTGCAGCCATGGAGCGGCCACCATCCACGGCTAGCGCCTGGCACATGCGCAGGATCGCCGCCGAGGTGGTCCTCGCCTGTTACAGGAGGTCTCGACTGAGCGCCTGGCCAGAGGAGAGCGACCTATCCAGGGCCCCCGTGATGAATGCTGTGGTAGATATCAATCGGCGCCAGGGTGAAATAGGGGGCGCGGCTATGGAGCAGGGGCCTTTATAGAGGAGGGTCGCTAGTGATTGGAGCATTTTTTGTTGATCTCTCTGGCGTCTGTGACCTGGGGGTCACGTGATATCCCACTAGCGAAGTCCGCTAAGGGACGTAGCACCATGACGTAGAACATCTGAAATAACACATGTACCGTACATACTGTACTCTCCCATCAGGTGTGCTTTAGTGTGGTAAATTGGCAGGAACAGTAAATTACACCTTACCTAAATCTGTAATAGGACTATTGATGTGTTGGCGCCTGTGTTCACTGACACAGCATCACCAGTGGAAGTAATACAATATACAGTAAGGCCGTGTCAATATTGTGTCCCTGCTGCAATCATTAAGAGATCACCATAGTCACACATGGCAGAGTTATTGATGTCGCAGGCGCTGTGTGCATCGACTGCTTTCCCTGAGGTCAAGATAATTTTCCGCCCCATGTTATTATTGGTGTTATGAATATCTTGCAAGGTTTATCGTAAAGAGCAACAACTGCGAGTCGGCTTTTTTTGGGAGACTTCTTCACCTTGGCATTTTCAGTGGGAGACATTTTGAGGACTTCTTACAGTGTCATTGAGACGGATTTACAAATACACAGAGTGGAGTGAGACCAAAGAGAGGCCAGAGAGAGGAGGATGGAACTAATATGAGTAATATTCAGTGGTCCTTCACGATAACGCAGATTTAATCTCTATTATTTTGAATGTGCTGTGGTTATTGATGATTTTAACCCCTTGTGTGATCTGATTTTTTATGTTTTTAATGTTCCATGTGATCCTAAAGTAGCAATATGTAAGATTTTCATGTCAAGTCATCGTTAAATGTCCGTAATCTGTCAAAAGGCATTAATGAACCATACTTTTTTTATAATACTCGTTCAAATGGTAACAGTTCAGGCAATTTATTTGAAATTCAAAATTAGTTTTACAGCCTCTAAATCTTGTTATTGTTTTCATTTCAATATCCCGTCTTCCACCGTTTTACCAGTCTGTGATCCCGGTTGATATAACCAGTCTGTTAATCTCACTGGTAAAGTAACATGGGGCCGCAGAACAAAAAACGTCTTGTTATGATTCTCAAATCATTAGTAACACAAGTTGACAGCCAAAAAATGGTCAGGGGTTTCTCAACTGATTTGGACTAATTTTGGTGTTCTGAGTCCGAATATCACATGCATTTTGGTCAACTTTTTGAGACACAGCCATAGTGTTACGGATTACGTACGTCTACCCAGCAGCTGCTCACACACGGGAATCAAAGAAACGCCGATTTATGCCGTGAACTCTAAAATTTTGAGTCACGTAACGCTCATTGTTTTACTAATATTATGAATTCTGCTTATCAAATTTGATGGAGTAAATAAAAACGGAATGACTTTGGATACGTTGACTTTTATTTCTTGAGGAATATGGAAAAAACGTCAAGGGTTTCTCAGCTGATGATCAGTAGAAATTTGTTTTTTACGCAAAATCAATTTAAAAAAAAAATCTGTAGCAAAAATTCCTGACCTGATTGAGCAAAACCAAGGTCATTTTCGCACTCAGAGCATTCAGCTGGAAAACCTTGGACTATTTTCAAAAAATATTTTTTTGTTACCCAGTGTAACTATCGGATTTGTCTGCATATCTGGCAACCTGAGTCAGGGAGAGTGGGAGAGGTTGCGGCACAACTTTTGGCCAGATTTGTACACATTACTCCTTGAAAGGTATACAGAAGGATTTCCCCAAATTTTAGGAAAGAACTGCCCTCTACACTTTTTGAACAAAATCTCTGGTCCTGTTTGACGAGCACGCATCACCAGAATGATTGACAATTGGGAGGACCAAAAGTCTTGATGATCCACCCGGAAGTAGAAATCCCTCCTCTTTACCTTTACTGTTTGTTTTTAAGGCGTGATTTCATTGTTTATGATTCATGGCTGTGAAGTACTTTGTATTACCCTATGCAGGAAAAGCGCTCTACAAATAAAGCATGATTGATTGATTGAAAACAATGTGAAAAGTGAAACTAAAACAATACATCAGAATAATACAGAGCCGTGAAGCCTCATAGACAAGATTAGCCTGACAACAACATAAAGAGAGACGATCGAAGGCATTGAGGAGGATTACCCTGGGCCACATTTGATTAGAAAAACACATACTAGATAAAAAGCTAAAAAGAAAAAAACCCATTAGCATGAAGAAAATTAGTTTTTAAATTGGCGGCGTTGCGGGAGCCATAGATTTGAAGGGACCGGCGCTGGTGAGTAAGTGATTTCAAGCTGATTGGAACTGTCCCCACGGTGACGGATGGCGGGCTTTAATGAATTGATCCGTGCATTGGGACCGCGCTGTGGCAAAAGGTAAGAACGTCCGCTCCTACAAGCCTCCACGGGTCCCTGTGCCTACGCCGCTGATAGAGTGCAAAGCGATTGGCCCGGCCCCCGCGCACAGGAGGGACCATCCATCACCGGGGCCTGGGTCAAACGCGGGAGGCGGTACACGGGGCGAGACGCAAAGGGAACTCCAGCCGCGCTAACGCGAAGCCGCCGCGGAGCTGATGGGTTTTGGCGTCGGGAGTTTGCCCTGAGAAAGAGGAGAGGGGTGTGAGAGTGGAGGTGAACCGTATGGCTGATGGAAATGCCCTCGCGAACGGGGTTTGACGGTGAGACCAGAAAAGAAAAACATATTGAAGTGTGGGAAGGGGAGTGGAGCGGCTGTTGTGAGAGCGCATGAGTCTGTCGCTATTAGAGGGTCGACTCAGGGGCCGACACACCTGCTGCTCAAATCTGTGCTGCTGCAGTGGGCATTCTGCAGTTTGGACATCTGTGGCAATGATGAAGCAACTCTGAGGAGCACAGGGACTGGCGCCTCCTGCTGGGATTCTGAGGAGCAAAAGGACTGGCCTCCTGTTGGGATTCTGAGGAGCACAGGGAGTACGGCATCCAGGTGGGACTCTGAGGAGCACAGGGACTCAAGGCAAAAAATGATAAAATATAATGTAACTTGAATCTAGTGGGGGGGTCATTTATCTTAATATGTGTACTGACTGTGTTTAAACAAGATTCACAAATGGGACAATGCCATTTAGTCTTATTTTCTCATTCCGAATAAATAATTTTCTTATTCCAAAGGAGACAATTTTTGTATGTTTTTAAATTAAGATAATGTTTCTTGGCCTATTGGAAAATCTCGTTTTAGGCAGTCAAAATGTGTTGGAATTTAAATACATTTTGCCAAAGTTGACCAATTTTTGACACTTTATTGCTGTGCTGGCCTCCTGGTGGGACTCTGAGGAGCACAGGGACTATAGCTATTTATGATCCACGCTTTTGAATTGATTTTGTTTCCTTTGTTTTTAATGTTTTCCTTCTTATTTTGTAAAGCACTGTGCTATACAAACACTCTTGGCAGTAACCATAATGGAAGACACCGCACCCAAAAAGCTCTATCAAATTATGTTCATGTTTTCTGTGTACAAGGCAAGTTTATCCAAAATGAAATTAATTTGATGTATTTGTAAAAGTAAAGACCTTGTCAAAGTAGAATCTTTTCTCACATTTTCAGAAGGATAGGTCCAGTCCTGTCCCTGGGCATCAGCAGGAGTCCAGTCCCTGTGCTCCTCAAAGATCCAGATGGTTTAAAGCAAATTGGGAAAAATGAACCAATTCAAAATGATAAATTTCCCTTGTCACTGCTTCAAGGAAAAACAACATCAAACCAAATGGGAAACACAACTATTACTCTGTACCAGAAAGAAAACCCTTTTTATTTAATTTTTTATTTTTTTGCAAATACAGAACACGAGGCTCAAGATACATTGCTCTAGTTTTGATGAAGAATCGTAACTTTATATTCTGTTCCTATCGGACCGAGAAGGATAAGGAAGGAGGTTTGTTTTCTGAACTGAGAAGCAGCCTGAAGCCTCTGAGCTGTGACAAACGAGACGGTTGTTGCTCTGTGATCCGCGCTGATGCCTCCACAGGACTCTTCTTTATATTGGTGTCCAGAGCCGGTGGGTTGTGGACGTCTCTCACGGCTCAGCAGGAGGCAAACAGGAGATTCAGATGGATATATGCTGATTTGTGGTCAATACACAGTGTCATGAAGAAGTATTTATACCCCCATGAACTTTTCCACATTCACAAGCATAAATATTGTTTTTGTTGGATTTATTTGGACCCTGGAAAAGTGGCAGATAATTGCAAAGTGAACGCAAATTAAATATGATTTAATGTATGTATTTCCAAAGTTTAGTAGTAGAATTACTACAGCTCCTACAAGACACTTTCTATACAGTGACATGGCTTCCCACATTTTCTCACACATTTTTCTCCTTTCTTTTCGGTTATTGATTATAGTTTTTCTCTATGAAGATGGCTCCATCTTTTGTCTATTTAACTTTTTTCAGAAAAGTGCAAAACAGACAAATTAGAAAGCAGCAAAATGTAGTCCCCTTTTCTCTAAGTGCAACAAATTGCCTTTAGAAATTGCCCAATGACCGTCACCATAGCGTTTACCGAATGTGTAAGAAGCTGATTTGAACATAAGCTAACTGGAGCCAATTTCCTTCTAAGCATTTGTTCTGATGGCGTTAGCTTTGCACCGTAGCGGAGGCAGACATGTTGTTAAAATCTTGGCAACACGTCTGCCTCTGTTCTGTTACTAATCCATAATTGAGTTCATGGATTAGATCTGTTCATCTTTATACAGGCTGATATGTTTCTATCACACTGTTCTTTAAAGAGCGACTAAACACCTGTGCCCAGCCTTACTCCGACCACATGAAGATTTGAAAATGTTTTCTTAAAAGGGTGTTGCCTGGAGGACCAAGGGACAAGAAAGGGGGGCTTAGAGTTGGGCGTGGTCTGGGCTGTGATTGTCACACACAAAAAAACAGATAGTTGTCATTGCTGCTTAAAGCAATAGTTTACACACCAGAAAGTCTCATTCCACCCTTGTTTACACGCTAAAATAATTGTAGAGCTACACACCTGAACCTAATCCACACAATTATCTCAGAATGACTCATGTAATTTCATTTTAAACCACTACATGTCGCCAGAATACTCCAAACTGCAGCTGGGGCGTGTCTGAGAGTTGAATGGGTTTATATCACTGGCGCAGACAGACTGACGTCACACATACAAACTGACGTCAGAATTTCAGAGTCAATGGAGAGGCCAGGACCAAATTCAAATGTAGTACCACCAAAACAGGTAGAGAGTTCGCCACAAAGACGTTTTTTGGCTCAAAAGTGAGATTTTATCTAATTTGAACTAGAATGTCAAAAAAAATGGCCAGCAGTAGAGAGCACTACAATAAACATATTTATACAGTTTATGAGTAAAAAAAAGTTGATATGGTGTTTAGTCGCTCTTTAAAGCATGCTCCCATTGAAATAAACAAATACACGGCGTGCAGAGACAGGCCACCATGGCAACAAGGTGGTTGACATCAGAAACGTTGCCACATTAGCACACACTAAAAAAGTATTTTTGAAAGTTTAGATATTTTATCTTCAACACACATTTATAATGTCAAATTAAATAACTTATTTTAACTCAAGAAAGTTGACAGACAAAGAATAATTATGTTTGTGTGACTTTTTACTTGAATCAAGCGCATGTATTTTTCCAATGAAAAAGTTGTTGCTTTAAAGGAATAGTTCACCGTTTTTACATACTGACATATGTTCTTACCTTACCTTAGACTAGTTAATACGTACCTGTGTGATCTTAGTCCGTGCGCTCTGTTATGCAAACGGAGCAAAAACGGGAGGACAAATGCAGCCTCCTCTGGTCACTGTGTAGCACCAAAAGGTAGCTCCCGCTAGAAGCTACCAAACTCTTCCAAGTGTTCCCTATTAAATGTATATAGTTACGTGACGTGTTACACTGCAAAGTATAGTAACACAGAAATGTAACTGTCGATTTTCTCAGCGGATAAAACGGGTACTATATTGTGAGGCGTAGTAATCTGAGGTGCGCTACGTCCGCGCACTAACTTCTCTCTGTACTACAAGTCACGCTGCTTCTATTGACGGAAGTGAGCGAGAGAGAAGTCTCCGGAGAGAAGTTAGTGCGCGGACGTAGCGCACCTCAGATTACTACGCCTCTCACAATATAGTACCCGTTTTATCCGCTGAGAAAATCGACAGTTACATTTCTGTGTTACTATACTTTGCAGTGTAACACGTCACGTAACTATATACATTTAATAGGGAACACTTGGAAGAGTTTGGTAGCTTCTAGCGGGAGCTACCTTTTGGTGCTACACAGTGACCAGAGGAGGCTGCATTTGTCCTCCCGTTTTTGCTCCGTTTGCATGACAGAGCGCACGGACTAAGATCACACAGGTACGTATTAACTAGTCTAAGGTAAGGTAAGACCATATGTCAGTATGTAAAAACGGTGAACTATTCCTTTAATCACATCTGACAAGCTGTCACAGACAATATAAGATGATATCAATCCTAACTGGAAACAAACTGCTTTGACTGTCTGTAGATGTCAGAAACGCAAACAAAGATTTCTGCACAAATAATAAATGTATGATGCAGAAGTTTGCTGTTTAGACTGAAATGTAGAGATATGTATGCATGTCGTATGTAAGTACTCACCTTAACATAAACAGCAAACACCTTGGACCAAGTGTTCAAATATTTAACAAAAATAAATGAGCATATTTCTCCAGCTTTGAATTCAAGATTGGAATTTCTTTGGAAAGTTTTCTGCAAAATTATTTCCATTCATGTGAACTTCCATCCCTCCATTTTCTTCCCCTGAATCCATTTCTGAGAGCTGCACCCAGTGCACCAGCCCCTCACTGATCCTCCTGCAGGCGGTGAGTCCACAGAAGCTTTGATCTTCCAGCGGGGACTTCAGGCAAAGTGGGGTTAAGTGTCTTGCCCAAGGACACAATGACAGCAATCATCAGTGGGAGTCGTGAAGAAAGTATTGTGTCCTAACAACATGAAAACATATTTCAGAAAATACGTTAAATAAAGAGCACTTACCATGTCAATGCACACTAGAATTACATAAGAGATAAAAGTTTATTCTCCATCCCGTCACATTCATCTCATCCACAGACCACAACTGCTGCTTTTTTCCATCAAAGACAAACATCAATACAAAAAACACATGCTGATGAAACCAAAATATAGATTCCACTCTGCAAACACTCCGTCTCCCCAGAGTACACATCTCCACAGCCTGCAGGTTTAGTCTCCTCGACAACATACAGAAATGTAAAAATCCAATCTTGTGTGTCCCCAAGGAGCCGCCAGACTCTCTTCATATTATTCTCACTACACGATTTCTTTTAAATGCTTGATTGGCTCGTCAAATTCACTACGTCGCGACAAAGACAAAATATTCCCAGGCTGGCGGCTTGCGTTGGAAAACCGGTGGCGGGTGTACTCAAGGTGAATCATATCCGTTCTGTCTAGACGTGTTTGGATAAATTGACTAAAAAGTGCCGCAATTTGAAAGAATATCCTGTCGGCTTGGATAAGACTTGCACACTTGAGGATTGTTTGGCAAGTTGCGTCAAGTTTTTAAACGCGAGCCAATGCTGTTTTGTGTTTAATGTGAACAATGATCTCCTGCATACTAACTACTTCAGTTACATTTTTCCATCGAAGTGTTACTTCTTCATTATCTGCTCTAGAACTAAGCGTTTCCATTCCACTTCAGTATCTGGTACCGCAACCTAGCAACTGACCCACAACAAAACAGTATCCAATGAAATTCTGTTGCTTTCACTCTGGCGAATCACTGGCAGTTAGAAAACGTAGGTACCAGCTTGGCCTGGAAGGAACC